AGGACCTCGACGAGGAGCGGGCGGTCGAGAAGCTTCTTCGAGCGGCGCCGAAGAAGTACGCCTAGCTAAAGATCGCGATCGAGACCCTCCTCGACTTCCAGGACCTCACCATCGAGGAGGTTGCCAGAAGGCTGAAGACGGTGGACAATCTCGAGGAAGAATCTCCGTCCGAGCTCATCTCCGTTGGCGGGAAGCTGATGTACACCGAGGAGCAATGGCTCGCTGGGCAGAAGGAGAAGAAGAAGGGAAGAGACGGCTCTGGCTCGTCCAGCTCGTCCAAGGACCACCGTCGACGACCTCGCGGCGACAGGAAGCAAAAGCCCAAGGGAGAGCATGGCGAGCGTGGCGACCGTGGCGGCGGCGGGCAAGCAAAGAAGGCTGGTGGCACCGGCGGCGAATGCAAGGCGAACCGCGACGACACCTGCCTCAACTGCCACCGCGCCGGCCACTGGGCGAAGGACTGCCCTCAGCCCCGACGCGAGCGTGGCGGCGCAGCGCATCTCGCAGAGGCGGATGATGACGAGGCGGCTCTGTTCCTCGCCCACGGCTTCCTGGAGCTGGAAACAGAGGACATCCTCTGTTCCAAGGCCGACGCCAGCCTCGACATCGACATACCCCGAGCTCGTGCGTTCCTCAACACTGGCTCCGACGAGGACAAGATGGATGGCTGGTACCTCGACAGCGGCGCCACCCACCACATGACCGGCCGTCGCGAGCTCTTCTCCGACCTCGACACCTCTGTTCGCTGCTCAGTGCGGTTAGGCGACGCGTCAAGGGTGGAGATTCAAGGCGTCGGCTCGATCGTGTTCCAAGCCAAGACCGGCGAGCACCGAGTTCTTCATGGTGTCTACTTCATCCTGGCGCTGCGCAACTCCATCATGAGCCTCGGCCAGCTTGACGAGGGCGGATCCAAGGTGGAGATCGACAAGGGGGTCCTTCGCATCTGGGATCGCCGCGGGCGCCTCCTCGTCCAGGTGAACCGCAGGCCCAGCCGCCTCTACATTCTCCATCTTGAGGCCGCGAAGCCGCTCTGCCTCGCCGCAAGGAAGGACGACGACGCCTGGCGCTAGCACGAACGGTTCGGCCACCTCCACTTCGAGCTGCTGCACCAGCTCAGCAAGCAAGCCATGGTGCGCGGCATGCCGGTGATCAAGCACGCTGAGCAAGTCTGCGACACTTGTGTCACGACGAAGCAGCGTCAGCGCCCCTTCCCTCAGCAGGCCAAGTACCGCGCGCAGGAGTAGCTGGAGCTTGTCCACGACGACCTTTGCGGGCCCGTGACGCCGGCGACTCCAGGAGGACGGCGCTACTTCCTCTTGCTGGTGGACGACGCATCCCGCTTCATGTGGGACATCCTGCTGCTGTCCAAGGATGCTGCCGCGGACGCCATCAAGAAGGTCCAGGCCGCGGCGGAGAAGGAGAGCGGCCGCAAGCTCCGGGTGCTACGCACCGATAACGGCGGCGAATTCACCGTCGCGGAGTTCACCGTCTACTGCGCAGGAGAGGGCATCCAGCGTCACTTCTCAGCGCCTCACTCGCCACAGCAGAACAGCGTGGTGGAACGCCGGAACCAGACCGTGATGGCCACGGCCCGGGCGCTGCTGAAGCAGAGGAGGATGCCGGCCAAGTATCGGGGGGAGGAGGTGATGACGGCAGTACATCTGCTCAATCACTCGCTGACGCGGAGCTTGCAGGCCAAGACCCCCTACGAGGCCTGGCATAGGCGCACGCCGGCGGTCGGCCACCTGAAGACGTTTGGCTGCGTCGCCTACACCAAGGACCTAGGGCAGCTCCGCAAGCTTGATGACCGCGGCAAGCCCGGCGTCTTCATCGGGTACAAGGAGGGAGCTAAGGCGTACCGCATCCTGGACCCAGTGACACAGCGTGTCAAGATCAGCCGCGACGTCATCTTCGACGAGGGGCGCGGCTGGGACTCGTCCACTCCGGACGCCGGCAGCTCGGCCTCGGCAGCGAGCGACTTCATCGTCGAGTACTGGGAGACTGGAGGAGCCGGGGGAGCACAAGGTGGCGGCCGGAGCCACATCGCCGGCGCCATCACTCTCTGCACCACGCTCGCCGTCACCAAGTCCGGGGGAGCCCGGAGGGACATCGGCAGCAACGGTCGCTCCTCTAGCGCCCCAGCTGGCCTCGCCAACGCCACCACCAACGTCCCCTGCTGCCCCTACTGCTTCACCAACTCCACCAGCGGCAGCAGCTATGACCGGTGACCAAGTGGAGTTCGCCACTCCACTGGAGGATGATGAAGATAGACTCGACGCCTACGACGACGACAAGCCGCTACGGTACCGCATGATGACGAACATCATCGGCGACCATCCTCCACCTCCGCCGCCTCAACACCTCTTCGCCGAGCTACACCTGACACACGCCGGCGAGCCTGCCAACTACGCCGAGGCCAAGGATGATCCGGCATGGCGGGCGGCAATGGAGCAGGAGCTCAAGGCGGTGGAGCAGAACCGGACTTGGGAGCTGGTGCCGCTCCCTGCTGGTCACCGACCCATCACCCTGAAATGGGTGTTCAAGCTCAAGAAAGATGAGCTGAGCGCGGTGACCAAGCACAAGGCAAGACTCATGGCGCGCGGCTTCGTCCAGCAAGAAGGGGTGGACTACTACGACGCGTTCGCTCCGGTGGCGCGCATGGAATTGGTCAGGGTCCTCCTTGTGCTAGCGGCTCAAGAAGGCTGGCGCGTCCACCACATGGATGTTAAATCCGCTTTCCTCAACGGCGACCTCAAGGAGGAGGTATACGTGCAGCGGCAGCCCGGCTTCGCCGTCGCGGGAGAAGAGGGGAAGGTCTACCGCCTCCGCAAGGCCCTCTACGGCCTGCAGCAAGCTCCGCGCGCCTGGAACGCCAAGCTGGGTGCCACGCTCAAGGACATGGGCTTCCAGCAGAGCACTCATGAGGCGTCGATGTACCGGCAGGGCAGTGGACGCTCTGTACTGCTTGTCGGCGTCTACGTCGACGACCTGATCATCACCGGCGCGGAAGATCGAGGAGTGGAAGCGTTCAAGGCACAGATGAAGAGGATCTTCGACATGAGTGACCTCGGCCTCCTCAGCTTCTACCTCGGCGTCGAGGTGCATCAAGATGCCGGCGGCATCACCCTCCGTCAAACACATTACGCCAAGCGAATCTTGGAGCTCGGCGGAATGGCTGGTTGCAACCCTGCCCATACTCCAATGGAGGAACGACTGAGGCTTAGCAGGCACAGCACGGCGGCGGAGGTCGACCCCACGCACTACCGGCGTCTCACCGGCAGTCTGCGCTACCTGGTGCACACTCGCCCTGATTTGGCGTTCGCCGTTGGCTTCGTCAGCCGGTTCATGGAGTGGCCTACGGTGGAGCATCATCAAACTGTCAAGCACATCCTCCGCTATGTCGCTGGCACGCTCAACTACGGTCTGCACTTCACCAAGGCGCCCGGCACCGCTCGCTTCGTTGGCTACTGCGACAGTGACCTCGCCGGCGACATCGACACAAGCAAGAGCACGAGCGGAACACTCGTCTTCCTCGGCAATTGCTTGGTTAGCTGGCAATCAGTCAAGCAGAAGGTGGTGGCGCTCTCCAGCTGTGAAGCCGAGTACATTGCCACCTCTACTGCTGCAACATAGGCTTTGTGGCTCTCCAGGCTGCTAGCAGAGCTCCTCGGCAGGCACGTCGAGGTGGTGGAGCTGATGGTGGATAGCAAGTCAGCCCTCGCTCTAGCCAAGAATCCAGACTTCCATGAGAGGAGCAAGCACATCAGGATTAAGTACCACTTCATCCGCAGCTGTCTGGAAGATGGAAGCATCAAGGTCGACCACATCTCAACTACTGATCAGCTTGCAGACATTCTTACCAAGTCTCTGGGCAAGGCCAAATTTGAAGAGATGAGGGAGAGAATTGGTTTGAAGCAAATCATCCCCAAGGCAGGGCACAAGGCTAAGGGGGAGAAATGATGGATTAGCCTAGTGCTTACCCAATGTATCTAGTTTACCTAAGCTATTTACTATTCACTATCTTAGATAATTACTGTTTAATGACTAGCTGTTTTCACATGCCTTAGCATCCAAGGTAGCATCTACTTTATGTAGCTGGTATATGCTGTAGTAGGTAGAGCACCTTCTTGTATCCCAAGTTTGCTACTCCTATATAATGCAATAAAGCGGCCTAAGTGCCAAGCTGCCCTCTGGCAGGAAAATTCCACTTGTCTAGCTACTTACTTGCAACACAACAAACACAACAACCTCAAAATTTCCAAATTGTATGCAAGTCCTAGTGCAAAAGAAGGAAAAAAACATAAAACTTAACGAGTTCCCACAAAAACCTAAATTTAAATACCATAATAGGTGTGAAAAGTCAAGAGATAGTATGTCATTGTACAGTACAGAGGATATCAACAAGGCATGTCATGATAATTAATAATATGCATTCAATCATCCCAACATCTACGTGCCCTTGAACCTATTTTTGGCGGGAACATAGGAACTGTGGCTCGAACATGAACATGGTGTCAGAATCTAGACCAGGTTTGTATGTTTGATTTGACAAAGCATCGACATGGGTGTCAAAACTACACTGAGTTAATGAATATACAAGTGTGGTCCAGCAATAAAAGGTCGAAGAGGTAATGACATGGATCAAAGTGCATGTAGACTAAATGTAATACTCATGATGAAAAACAGGCCGACACGAAATGAACAAAGGAAAAGGTGATTGCTTAGGCGATTCAAGATAGTAGATTTAAATTTATGAAGGAATAAGGAAATGAAAGAAATTTGGAGTATTGTGGACTTGTGGTGATAGATAGCTGTGTAGTGTTCGCTACATATTGGTTAATTATCAAAAATAAGAATCAAGAATCATTCAGAGTGGATATGCTCTTCAAAATGTAAAATAATTTCTAATAATTTGTATCAATCAACTTATATTTAAATCACGTCCTAAAAATTTCAAGCCCCGTCAGTATGGTAAACATGTAAGATGGGAATAATCATACTCTGTGCCTGCAGGTACTTTTCCAGGATTCTTGTCCATGAAATCAACAAGCTGAGCAAATAGATAAGCTTCACCCAGTGAGAAAAGCGTATCTATAAGGGCATAATCAGGTTCATCAAATGAATCTCTTATCAATGTACTCCCATAAGCAGCAACTTTTTCTTCTTTCGACAGTTCCTTAAAACCATGGTATGCAACTTTTACATACTTGTGTCGATCCATCTGATAATCCATCACCAAAATAGTTAAAAGGAGTTAATTTAGTTAAAAATTACTCCCTCCGTCCATAAAAAGGTTGCAACTATGGGATTTGTGCAAGTCAAACTAGCTTAACTTTGACCAAATTTACAGTGAACAGTATTAACATTTATGTCTACAACTATGTTTACTACGAAAATATATTTCTTAGTTAATTTAATGTTACTTATTTTGTATCATAGATGTTACTACTTTTTTTTATATAACTTTGGTCAAACTTCAAATCGTTTGACTCCTCAAAGAATGAGAATTGCATCCTTTTGTGGACAGAAGGAGTACAAGTATTGAAAGTCCAGCACAAAAGTGCAATGAAACAATGAGCTATAAAACAAATTGAACAGGAGCAAATATTTCATTTAAATTTTACAATACAGATCGCATCAAAATTTATGATGAGGCCTAGACCTGTTTTTGCCATTCCCACTAACCAGTAGAACTTTTCACATTGAAAACTAACACTTGATACTTCCAAAATGATGACGATGCTCAGCGAGCGATTAATATTAATATTGAGGAATTGCAAATGCTAGCACGAAAAGAGTGATTATGGTTCAAACTATAAAGGGCAGACCCAGTGCCAGAGGCTCCCACATGAGTGGGGTCTAGGGAAGGGAAAAACCGAGGCAAGCCTCCCCCCCGCAAAATCTGCCTAGAGGCTGCTTCGAACCCGTGACCTAATGACTCAGTGAGACAGCTCTCACCACTGCACCAGGCCTGCCCTTTGATTATGGTTCAAACTATAATCAAACTATAATATATAATAAATAAGAATAGGTAGAATAGTTAACCAAAAAAATGCATCAATTAGTTTGACAAGCCGCCTCCTACTGATTCGCAATCATGTAACCACCAACATCACATTTCAAATAAGAATATGAAAAAAAGGAGATCTGATTATTGTAAAAATATTGTGGCTAGGCATTTTGCTGATAATACTCCTACAACAGAGCCTTTTGTTTCCAAGCAGGTTGGGCCCTTCATTGATAACAATATAATTTATTTTATGTTTTGTACAGTTACAACAGAAAACTTCCAGCAACTTGGTCGTGTTTTACTAAGTGGCAGTGTAACAGTAATATATTATTTTCAAAAAAACGAGGGGCAAGTTTAAAAAATAATAACTGACCTTCAAGATATTTCCTCTCTTCTTATCAAGAACTAGTCCTCTGACCATATATTTCCAATCAAACTCCCAAGTCAGCAGCTGCATGATCAAAGAATAGTAAAATCGAATTCTGAACCTAAACAAGCCAACATGGAATATGTTTTGTTGCTTTCATAAAGATTCAGTACGTAAAGGTGAATTCTGAAATCAAGGCAAATGCACTCCAGTAGACAATATTTCTGCTCAATAAGTGGATAGCAAATTTCATTCTCCAATGTGTTCGACTTTATGAGTGCAACACTCAGTAAGGCCCCACTAAGATAAAAAGCAATAACTCCAATAAGGAATTTTAATCAAGAACAGCACCAACATTATGCAGCCAAACTCCATAAAAGTAAAAACAGGTATAGAGTGTACTAATTCATCTATGCTGTCATAACCAGAAGCCGATGTGTTTCCTTCCCATCGGTATAGAAATGCTGCCACACACTATCAAATCACATGCTAAACTCAATAAGTAGAAGTCCAGCCTCTAAAAGCATAGTATATGATAGACTAAAAGTATAAAAATGAAGCATAAGGGTTACGCTAACTTCTGGGACATCCAAATGGTACAATCATAGACACATTGGAAAACAGTTAAAGCAACTATATGGAATTTATGTGCCATTAACTCTCTTTCTTGCATGCATTGAAAGGTCAATGTACAAATAGATTCAAAACCAACACATCTAGTATGAAAGTGATCAATCTGGATATTTTATCTTGGTGTATTAAGCAAATTTGCATTCCTTAGCACTAACCTCTTCAGGGTAGCGCAGATCCTTCACAAGCTTCTCTATTGTACCATAGTAAGCAAGGGCCTCGAAGGTCTCAGGCTTGTACTGTGCCAGAGTGTAGTCCATATCAAATCCCACTGCCCTAATGTTCCTCATGTTGAGTGACCTATTGCAGAATACCTCCTTCCCGACAGAAATGCTTCTCGGTTCTGCCGAAGGTGTTGACCATACTGCCCCAGTGGACGCTGTGTCCACCGCACCGCTGTCCATCCTTACAGCAGTGCAACCTGATAGGAGACCAACACATCTGTATTGTAAGAGCATACAAGCTAATAAACTTAAAAATGCTAACTGTACTTCACGATCGGTGGAGAAGCACGTTGTTTCAATCAGGAATTATGTCAGAGTTGGTTAAAACGTTAGATGATCGACGTATTACAAGGACATACGGGCAAAGTTGCAGCAGTAGAACGAGTAAAACCGAAATTCTTGCATCTCATGTGAATAAATAAAACACACTTAACGCTGAATCACAAAACTATGATGCAAAATGCAGAATCCATCAAATTCCAACAAAAATCCACAATCTCTGCATGCCATCACGACTCGCCAAAGTGATCCGGGTAACCCAATGAAATCCACAAACTCTGCTCGGGAAAGGAGTGGAGCCACGAACTCCCTTGGAAACAACCATCGAAGTCTGAGTGAAATCGGAGATATACAAGACAGAACATCTCGCGCCAGTCAAACCGGTCAAATAGCACAGGAATCGCACGGCGCACAAAACAGCACGAGAAGAACGGGCAAAATTCTCATCCCACCGAGAAAATCTTCACGAATGCACGGAAGAAACGCGTACGTACCTCTGGAGCCGGAGGCCGACGCGGCGGCGGCGGCGGGCGAGCAGGAGGAGGACGCGGACGCGAAGAAGAGGAGCAGCGGAGGCGAGAGGGGCGCGAGGTGGAGAGCAGCGGCGAGAGGCCTCCTGGAGAAGAGCATTATCGCTGGCTCCCAACCCCCCGCGCTTTAAATAGGCGACGAGGAGAAGCGCCGGATGCGACGAGGGAGAGAAGACCGGGCGACGGAAGCGTGACCGTGGTCGTGCGAGGGAGGGAATAAATGCGGCGCTAGGTGGGAGGATGGGAGGAGGAATCCCGATGGGGCCGGGTGGTGGTGGTGGTGGTGGTGGTCGTGCGCGTGAGGGACGGGACGGGAGGCCGGGCACCGCCGCGCGGCGGAGTCATCTCATCTCATCGCGCTGGCCTGCGCCGAGCAGCGGGCATTGGCCGACGAGCAGGCGGAGGCGCGGGCCGCGAGGGGGTGACGGGGCAAGTGGCGCGGGGATCGTGTGCGGATTCGGATGCCGATGCTGCGGAGCGGAACGGAGCTCGCGTGCGTTGGAAGCAGCAGCGGGCGCGGGCGGACGGGGGAGGGCTGGTGGTGGAGGAACTCCTGCTCGCTCTGGCTGGGGATGGATGCGTTTGAGTTGCGTTGGTGAGTTGGCGCTGGTAACGGATGACGCAGCGCCGCTTTCCCTCCCGCGGCTTGGCTCCGGCCACACGCCCCACCCCAAAAAAAAAAAGAGTAGGACAGGAGGGCATGCTACACGCAAATCGGGAAGAATGGAGGATGATTTTGGTAGGTGAATCTTTTATAGGTAGTTATTATATATATAAATCTTGTTAAAATAGAAAATTGTGTAGTGGTATAACATTAGGGTTAGTGTGGAGAGTTTATCTCTATGAGCGATAAAGAAGACGGTGATGACCACTAAAGCTTTCAGCAGGCACTAAAGATGGCATAGAGAATAAACAAGATATTTCGGGCGAAGAGATTAAAGGGGTGCTGGCGATGAGAAAGGAGGGAGCGTCATGAATGGTAAATTCGGAGGAAGACGAAGGTGTCTTACATAATCCTCATGAGCTACTTTATCAGCTAAATGATAACCGTTAACGGTATTAATAGCGAAAAGATTGGTATAAACCAATGAGCAGACAGAAGAAGACGCCAAGAAATAATTAAGATGGAGATTCTACTTTGGCCCTGTTTGGATACTCTAGCACAACTAGAGGTTAGAGTTAGTTTCTAGCTCAGGACTAGCCCTGAACTAACTCTAGCCTAAGAGATGTTTGGATACAAGAGTTAAAATGATAATAAATGTGTTTTCCAAATCATTGGTGCAGGTGAAAGTAGAGAGAAAACAGTGGACCCCACCTCAAATAGCCCCAACTAGCCCAAATAATCACCTCTTTGGGGGGATAGTTTTTTAGGGTGGGCTAGTTGCAAATAACCCACTCTAACCCTCCTGTTTGGCTACTTTAGGGCTAGTTGAGCTCCAACTAGCAACTAGCCCAAACTAGCTCTAACCCATGGATCCAAACATGGCCTTTGGCCTAGAATGCAACTTGAATATGCCACATTTATGAATGTGTATTCAATGGCATTGTCGTGGTTGTCTTCGGTTTTTAGGGCGCTTTTGTCTACCGCCAAAACCAATTGGTTGACAATATATATAAAAAAGGCGACAAGGGTGGATAATCGATAAAAGGCATTTGTTTAATTAAAGTTGCGATGACAAGATGAAAAACAATGTATGGATCTCTTGCGAGCTAAATCTAGACATTGGCGGAGCCAAATTTGAACATAGAGGGGCCGTTTGGACCGATAACAATCACACATGACGAAATACATATACAGTCAAAGTATACATAACAACCAAATAAATATTTTGTGTTATAAACTTATTATAATACAAAAGAAATCTAAAAAACTAGAAAAAGAACACAAAATATTTTGGAGAAAAAAAGGAATAAAATTAATTAGCCCATGGTCTCTAACGCTCATATGACGATTAATCTAATTCTTGGGCTAGAAAAAAATCACGATAATAACAGAAAGACCAATCCCAAATAATATAGGTGTTAATGGAGATCAATACAGAAGGAGAGTAAACAAGAAAACACTAATTATATTTAACTAGCTAATTAGAGGATTATTGTGGGAACAAAAGAGGTGGACAAAAATAATAGAAAGACTAATTATTAATTATATAAGATGCTATAAGATAATAATATGGAAGAGGACAAGAAATCATAGTACAACTAACATCATTAAATAGTTAATTAAAATATCATATAGCCAACAACTATATATGGTAAAAATTTTAATTATATATTTCTTAATATAATATTGAGTAAAAAATATGTTGTGCTGTTAGGGGGGAGATAACCGAATTAAGAGGAAGCAGGATACAGGACCTCAAGGGGAGGGAGGTCGGATCAGGGAACATTTGAGGTGGGAACCGGGCACATGGAGATATTGGGGAAGAAGAACAGTAGCCTAGATAGAAGAAGGGTTCTGTTTCTAATAAAATGATTCGATCTCCTCCACATGACCTCTTCTGTCCTTAAGTAGCTAGCGCCCCCACTGGTGACAACCTGGCGTGGGTGGGCCCACATGGCAGGAAGCCCTGACAAGCTCGTACTCTATTGTTGGGCACAAAAATTGTTGATGCTCTGAACTTTCAGATGACAAATATACTTACTAATTGTCAGGTCTTTGCCTCACCGGTTGAAGCTGGATCATATGGTCACAACCTAGTGTCATGTTCGTTTGGCTGATAAGTCATAGCTGAAAGTACCGTTGGTTGATTTGTTTTGAGAGAAAAATAATGTTTCTGGCTGGAAAAGTACGGCTTATAAGCCAAGCGAACAGGGCGTAAGCCATTGGTCTCTTAGGTCAGCCACCGAAGCAGTTACTAGATGTGGCAGTTTACTCTTGTGAGTCTTTAGCACACCATCCACAAATGTAATGTCAAATATGTCTCGCAAATTTTTAATCGGGGGGTATTCCGTCCAATCTCTATACTTTGCTTATAACGAATAAAATCCTTCCTATTGTAAAAAAAACATCTGGTTACTATTATAGTTGATTTGAAAACAATGTTTGCTATAGCACGTGGTAGTAGAAAAGAAAGTTAGATTCAGCCTGTTCGTTTGGCTGTGGCTTGTCGTAAACGATCGTAAATTTTCAGCCGAAACAATATTTTTCTCTCACACAAAACAGCCAGTATTCACGAATCAGCAACGAAACGAACCAGCCAACCGAACAGGCTGATTGCCCACACTTCAAAATGTTGTGTACCTTTTAGGTGGGCGAGTAGCAAAAGTTAGTTGTTCTCTCGGCGGATAACGGGCGATAGCATGGCACGCATCTTGGCCGTGGATTTATTCCTCCCATGGCGATCCTGGGCCCCGCAGGATTCCACGTTGGCAACCCGGTTCGATCGATTAGGATGACGAAGAACTCATGGAGCGGAGGGCGGAGCGCTCTTGACCTTTGGCATCGCCTTTTCTTCTGCTCTCTCCCTGTCTCCCTCCTTTTGGGCCCATCAACAAGCGTGCAGTCCACAGCAGTAGGCAAGGCAAGTAGCACGACAGACGGACAGATCCCAGATCACACATTCCTATTCCGATCCGAACAGCTAGCCAAAGACCCAAGAGTGGCAAGCGATATAACGCAGCAGTCAGTTTCGTTACGCCAAACTACACCAAATGATGTGTAAAGCGGTCGCTTTCCTATACGACGACGACGATGATAAGCTTTGCTTACTTACACGTATATTAATTTTCGCATGGCCTTTTGTAGTTTTGTCGACGCTTCACGTTCGATCTTGTCCATCGGCACACAAGCGGTATGATACAAGCCTGATTTTTTTTTGGGAGTTTGATGCAAGCCTGATTTTACTTTTATTGCTTGCTAGATCGAGTGACAGTAGCAACAAGAGGCAAAAGTTAACATGCTGGGGATCGGAAGCCAAGCAAGCCTACATGCTAATGCTAGTGCTCCAGAGATCTGGTCCAGAACTAGCTGTGTTGCGCTTTTTTTCTTTGACTGTCAGCTGTGTTGCGCTTTTGTTTATGTATGCCGGGATCGATCATGACACAGCAGGATTATACTAATCTATAATAAGCTATATTATATTAGTTGGTAATCTGATTATTGGAAGTTAGCTCGAATCTGATTCATGGCGATAACACCAGAATACGTGGAGGGAACCCAGTATTGTTCGGCTTCGTGGCACACGCTCATCTCTACCGGTTAGTTCCAATTGAAAGATCGATGCTGCCATTTGGAAAATGTGTTCCAGGTTCCAGCATCATCGTCATATCAGTGCAAAAGGGGAGTGAATGCGATTCTACAGCTTTTTTCAAGCCTAACGAGCAAGCTGGTGGTGTGTTATGTATGCGTGCGATATTTAAAATGCCGCTGCAAGTGTAGCTAAAGGAAAGCTAAAAAAAGAACACCGTGCCATGCGGTGAGCGGCCGGTGAGATCCACGCATCGTCTGGGCTGGTTAGTTGTTGTTGCTTGTTGGTGTCGTGCGTGGATTCCTATGCACAAGGCCGTGCACGTAGCCACGTACGGAGTACCTATCATTCGTCCTTTGCATGCTTCTACCAACTGGACTAGTGGAGCGCCGTAGTGCCGACTGTTCCCGGCTTGCACTTGCATGGATTCCGCGGCGTGCTCCGATTCGGGGTCGCCGTCGGTGCAGCCGCCGTGCCGTGCGAGCGACCGCGGCCTCGTGATTCCTGAAGGCGGAACCATCATGGGACCCGGCCGTTCATACTACCGGAAGACGTAGCACTCAGAATACGTAACGGGATAGTTCGTGTGGATTTGGACAGCTGGACGGCCCGTAAAGTTTGGAGGCCCACGCGCAGAGGAAGCGCAATCCCACCCGCTGTCCCCCCACGCTGCCACGCACGCCTAGCCATGAGCGCCATCCAGTCGCCCGCCGCGCCGCCGGTGAGGCCGCCTCTCCGGCGCAGCACGACGGCAGCAGCGTCTCCCCTCCGGGAACCCTCACAGCCGCAATCGACGCTACCGGCGCCGCCGAGCATCGCCTCCCGCCGCACCGCGCTCTTCGCACTCGTCCTGGCCGCGGCAGCGCCGGCACGCCCCGCCGCCGCCGCCTTCTCCCTCGGCATCCGTACG